AAATGAAATGGATGCTTAAAGCAAATTTATCACAAAAAAGTAGTTAAACAATTTTGTTTGGAAATTGAGAACTTTTTTAAATTTAATTTCTTTTTAGATTTATGGTTTAAGTGGGTCAAATAAATAATACAGATAGAATGCACAGATTTCCAGCTTTCATTTGCTAGCAATATTGAATACATATAAATATTTGTACTATTGGTTTGAAATTGTAAGTCTTTTAGACATTGAAGTCCTTTTATAAGGACATAACAGCTGATTATAAAAAAACGGAGTATGCAGAATTACTACAAATGGTATCTAGTCTCACATGTATATCGACTACGTGATAATAAACGAACAATAAAAAAGACCCGTAACTGCCAGCTTTACCCAAAATCATGCACCGTTTTATGTGCCCTAAGATTTGGGGCCTGTCCAATTTTAACCCCCTCTAAGTCCGGCAGTTCTTCACCGATAGAGCTGAAGTTTGTATCTGGCCTACTATCCAATAGTGCTAACCTTGATGCAAATTTCATCCAAATCAGAAGACATCGATTTTAAAAGTTTGGTCACTTGACACGAAATGGCCCATATGTGAGTTTGTCATTCCGTTTATAATTTCCTATAAAGTATATATATTCTAGATCTGTCTATCTGCCTGTCTGTGTGTCTGTTAAAATCAATTTTCTGAAGACCCCAGATACCTTCGGGATCCAAATCTGTTAGAAATGCTTTCAAGATGTTTCCTATTTAAAATCATCCAAATCCGTTCAGAAAAAATATTGTACTCTTGTTGTTCTTCAAAAGGTACTTTTTGAATTTTCTATAATATTAAAATATTGGATTAAGAAAGAATCTGTAAAAAGGACTTTTGGTACATTTTCGTTCTTCAAAAGGTTATTTTATTTATTATTTATTTTATTTATTCATTAATTTATTACTTTTTCGTACATAATTTAAGGCTTATCATTAAATTGTAAATTTATTGGGATCAAATAATTTAATTTTACAAGCCTATAGCTCATAAATATACAAACTGTAAAGAATACTGACTTAAATAATTTATGTTCGTTGTAAAACAAATAAAATTCACAAAATTTTCACTTTCATGAAAATTTTTCTCGGCCCTTTGGATAATAAATGTTCAATAAACTATGGATGAAAACAACAACTACTATAGTACAAACTACCAACTATCAACTATTAAGGGCCATAACATATGTATGAATAATAAAGAATTCGGTGGTCATCAATTGGTCAATGAGAATGTATCCTGAGAGAATTCATATTGTATACAATTTTAAATTATACGACAAACTCACAGAGCTTGTAGTAAAGCAGAGTGGAGTAAGGTTGTAATTTATGTTTGGTTATGTGTATGAAAATAAAATAAATTATAAATTATTTAATGATATTTTATGATACAAAAAGAAAAAACCTTGGCATACATCTCTCTTAACCCTGAGCTCTGAACAATATTTTGTTCACTCATCTAGATGGTGTTTTATATACGTATACTATGTACATGTACATATATTTTATACATATGTAGATGATGGATTATTTTGCACAAAAACTTTCACGTACATGTGCATCTATGTAACTCACCTATGAGCTCTATATTTATAGAGATGTGTTTAACCACTACTATTGCCTTATAAATAGTTGACATGCATACATTTTTATGTGTATTTATATATAAAATGAAGTTTTGCTGCCTGCTCTTTTGACGATTTTTAGTTTTGATGGTAATTGTCTACTTATTTAATCAATTATTATTAATAAAAATAATAATAATTTCTTATATGTATACCGGTGAATTTTTGAAAAAAGTGGTTACTGCAATATTTATAATATTTTCTAAATTTGCAAATCCATCAGCAAATGATTTGCCGAAAAGAAATCATGCATCTTATATATTAGTTATAGCGCAAACTCCTTCAAATCATTTCTACAATTGATGCAGCACTCGCTGACCAAATTAGAACTCCAACGGTGGTTTTGTACTTAATGATTTTCCTTATAATAGCGGCTCTACTTAAGTGCTTTTTTCCAGTTTCCAAACGTGTCTGAAATAAATCGACCACAGTTTCATGTATAGTTATTGATTTTGAAGCTAAAATAAGATGTAATGAGAAACATATGCAACATAAATATATATTAAAAGGAATGCAATATACGTACATATGTATGTATGTCCATATGCTCTAAAAATGTTTGCTACGCAGAAAATCCAAAATGTCTATAAAAGGACAATATGCAAAAATAAACAGTAAAGAGCTCTAACAAATCGATATTAAAAGGTTTTAAATTATTTAAAAGTATTTATCTATTGTTGAGAATTGAGCCCTCTGTTGCCCACAACATCGAACAAGGATAATTTCTGAAGACCTCCTTTCATACTTTAAGTGAATCCAAAATATAACAAAAATCATTAAAATTCATTTTCGTATAAACATATATATGCATATTGGGGTTACCTATATATAAAATTTTTGTAAATTTCAAATCGGTCTTATCTATTTCACATAGAGTGTAAAAATGTACGTTGAAAAAGTATATCACTTTTTCCCGAACATTCAAAAATTCATTAAAGTTTAGGATATTTAATCCAAAGAAAATTTTAAATTCATTAAATAAAATCGAAAATATTTTATATAAACAAGTGTCAATGTTTGACCTATGAAACGTACACGAAGAGAAAGCAAGGATAGTATCAGCGGTTTATCCATCATCCAAATTTTTTACCCAAACATATAGATTATACAATTCAAAATTTATTAAAATTTGTAGGTAAATGGTTTTAGAAAATCGATTTGACGTGGAAGATTTTTACACCAAAATGACCCTAGCAAAGTGTTTTCGTTAATCGAGCACTACAGGCAGCAAAATAGTGATAGTGACTAATGTATATACACATGTTGTTATGTTTTTGACACTTATAAGCATGTAAATGTGTCCATATGCAGGAGTATGAGTATTATATATCATTATATGCATGTAACTTTATGTTTTGCATACTTATGCATTTACGGGATCTATGTTTGTGTGTACATAACTGCACTTTATATGCGGCATAATGTTTAATGACGTCACGACAACATACTAAAAAAAATAACTAAGAGTACTGAAAGAGTAAAAAGACCACGTTGATGACGATGTTCGTACAGATATACATACATATGTATATGTGTATGTATTTTTATGTAAATAACAGTATTTGACCCAATTTCAATGAAGTTGAATGCAAATGGAATTGATGACATTTTTTCAACCCAAAACTAAACGGAAGTGCAGTTTTATAGCGAAGAAATTTTGTTTCAATATACATACATATGTACATATGTTCGGTATATAAAGCTACTTTTATATATAACCATACTCTAAACAATAAAAATAAACATTTTCTTAATATATCTTTCGTTAGAAATGCAGAAACATACAGTTAATAATTAATAAACTGCAATATCATACAACAGCATCTTTAAGCTAGCACCCTCTGACTGGGCTACAGAGAACTGAATATAGTTTATTAGAGGGTGTTTGGTCATTAGTAGTTTTATGTATGTTATTTGTACATACATATACATATATGTATGTATATGAATGTATGTATATATAAAAATTAAAATATCATGTATACATGAAATGCCATATACATAAACATTTAGTAACGTGCATTTTTGCTTTTTGTGTATGTATGTATATACTAGAAGGTTGTCGAGTACATAGCGGTAAAAATATAAAAATAACACACATACAGGTTGCTATTACTAGTTTACCCTTGTTAAAAGTCTTCTTCTTATTCTTTTTTAGCATCTAGTAAAATGTAAAAGAGGACAACCACAATAACGATGACTTTTCTCGTAAATGCATTTTATACACATACATATATATGTATGTATATGTATTTATGTATATAAGTGTAGTTATATGTATATTTACTCATGCATATATTTGTAGAACTATGCCTATATCTATTTAAACTTAGAGAATTCAATGAACTTTTTAAATGATCATTATATCGATTTCATTTTAATTATTCGCCAATAGTACATAAAATTGATATTAGTTAAATAAAACTGCGATAAAGAAGTAGGTACATACATATGCCTATATGTGAATGTATGTATTGACTGCTGACGTCATTTAAAATTCCAATTTACATAAATATATCTACTATTCTACTTTCATATCCTGCTTTTTTATAAAGTATCTTCCTATTTTTTTAATTAATTTATATTTTTATTATTATTTACTAAATTAAAATTGGTATTATTTATCGTCTTAAACATTTCAGACTGTGATTGTTGTTAACATTTTATTTAGGAAATAATTACATGACATCGTAATTACAATGGGGATAGTGAATAAGCATCCAAAATTCCTCACCTTTCGTTTGTGAGCCAAATGTGAATCTTTCTTAGCTGAAAGGGGCCATTTAAATGATCCTTAAGCTTTTATAATTTATCAATATATTTGCTTCATTCATTTAAATTGAATAAAAAACATACAATACCAATTAAAACATTAGTAGCGGCTTTTCTAATATTTTGACATTGCTTTCAGTTCAATTTAATACAAAATCCCTTTTCTGCCAAAATTTTTCAGCAAATCTTTTAGAAAACTAATTGATTGTACTGAACATCATTTACCACAAGTTAAACACATGTAAATAAAATTGTTTTTTATTTTTGTCACAAAAGGTCATTTACTAAATTGATGTTGTAAAATCTCTTATGGTAAATTATATTCAAAATTGATTTAGATTATAGTGTAAACTTTAGCAACTTGTAACCGAGCCAAAAAATATATTTGTTTGGTAAAGGCAAAAAGTCTATTATATTTTATCATGATACAAACACAAACAATAAAAACCCGCTTTTTGGCAACATGTATACAAAAAGAAGTGATTTCTGTAAGTTTTTTTCTGTTTAATATTTTATATTTAGTGTGACAAAATATTTATAGAATTTAAGTAATTTATTTGTTTTATATATTTATTTTGTATTTAACAGGTCTTTACCCAAATTGAGCAGTCAAGACGAAGAAGGGGGGGCTGGTCATGGCTATGGTGGCGGGCCACAACACTTTGAACCCATTCCTCATGATCATGATTTTTGTGAAAGAGTTGTTATAAATGTAAGTATTTATTAGTTTTTATCCATCCTCCCTAAAGTTTTGGCTAAATCTAGACAATATCCAATTCAAAACATAAAAGTCCATTTTCCTACAAAACTAGAGGCAAAAAGAAAGAAAATTTGTGATCACTTTAAAAATCACCAAAAACCGTATCTTTGATTCAAAACTTAAAGGTCTATTCTCTAACTAAACTAGAGGCACTAGGACAAAAGGAAAGAAAATCTGTGATCAACAAAAATCCATTTTTATTTTTTTGTTAGATTGAAAACATAAAAGTCCATTTTCTGGCTAAAATAGAGGTCCTGGGGCAAAAAGAAAGAAAATCTGTGATCACTATAATTTCCCAACAAAAATCGTTCCCAAAAAAAAGTCCATTTTCTGGCTAAACTAAAGGCGCTAGAGCAAAAAGAAAGAAAATCTGTGATCATAATTTCCCAACAAAAATCGATTTTTTGAGTGAAAACTTAAAAGTCCATTTTCTGGCTAAACTAGAGGCGCTAGGGAAAAAGAATAATAATCAGTGATCACTATAATTTCGCAACAAAAATCGATTTTTTGAGTGAAAACATAAAAGTCTATTTTCCAGCTAAACTAGAGGTTCTAGGGCAAAAAGAATAAAAATCAGTGATCACTATAATTTGGCAACAAAAATCAATTTTTTGAGTGAAAACATAAAAGTCTATTTTCCAGCTAAACATGAGGTACTAGGGCAAAAAGAAAGGAAATCTGTGATCATTTTAATTTCCCACCAAAAATCGATTTTTTTTGGAGTGAAAACATAAAAGCCTATTTTCTGGCTAAACAAGAGGCGCTAGGGCAAAAAGAAATAAAATCTATGATCACTATAATTTCCTAACAAAAATCCATTTTTTGAGCGCTAGGGCAAAAAGAAAGGAAATCAGTGATCATTTTAATTTTCAACCAAAAAGGAAATCTGTGATCATTTGAATTTCCCATCAAAAATCGATTTTTTTATTGAAAACATAAAAGTACATTTTCTGGCTAAACTAGAGGCGCTAGGGCAAAAATAAAGTAAATCTGTGATCATTTTAATTTTCAACCAAAAATCGATTTTTTTTCTAGAAAAAAGAAAATCTGTGATCATAATTTCCCAACAAAAATCGATTTTTTGAGTTAAAACTTAAAAGTCCATTTTCTGGTCAAGCTAAAGGCGCTAGGCCAAAAAGAAAAAACTGTAATCACTTTAATTTCCACCAAAAATCGATTTTTTGAGTCAAAACTTAAAAATCGATTTCTTGACTGAAAACTTAAAAGTCCATTTCCTGGCTAAGCTAGAGGCGCTAGGCCAAAAAGAAAGAAAATCTGTGATCACTTTAATTTCCCAACAAAAATTGATTTTTTTGAGTGAAAACATAAAACTGGAGGTGCTAGGCCAAAAAAAAATCTGTGATCATTTTAATTTCCCACCAAAAATCGATTTTCTGGCTAAACTGGAGGCACTAGGGCAAAAAAAAACCCTCCAAACCTCCATTGTTATTTTGTTTTCTTAGAAATAGTATTCGCTAAAACATTCGCTAAGATTAAGCGAATGCGAATGTAAAAAACTAAGCGAATACATATTTATATACGACAGTTAATAAAGGTTCTAGAAGTCACAAAATTTTGTTCCATATTTTAATTAAAGTTTAAAATTGTTAAATTTATATTTAAGGTCATTACTTTTTTTTTATTTCTTTTTGTTTTCACTTACAGGTAAGCGGGTTAAGGTTTGAAACACAATTAAGAACGTTAAATCAATTCCCAGACACGTTGCTAGGGGATCCAGCTCGGAGATTACGGTACTTTGACCCGCTAAGAAATGAATATTTTTTTGACCGTAGTCGACCGAGCTTCGATGCTATTTTATACTATTATCAAAGTGGTAAGTGATAATCGGATTGAAATTAATATCTTAAAGTGTACTAAACGAATTAACATCGACATACATAGAAACATATTTTTATAAACATCTGTAAATAAGAGATGATTTTATATATTTAACGTTACTAATCAATAACTAATTTTCTTTTTTTCCTTTTACATGAATATTTATTTCACTTTATTTCAAACATGTCTATTTTGTTTTTTGTTTTGGTTCATAACTACTTTTGTGTTGTTTTGTGTTTTTTATTTGTTTCTTCTCTATCCTCTTTTTTAAAAAATTTAATTGAATTTTAGGTGGCCGACTACGGAGACCGGTCAATGTCCCTTTAGACGTATTTAGTGAAGAAATAAAATTTTATGAATTAGGTGATCAAGCAATTAATAAATTCAGGTAAGCTTCATCGACACAAACTACCGTTACCGTTACTGTTACCGTTATTACTTACTGTTTAATTAGTTGGGTCACTTGCAATACAAACAAGAAAACAAAATATACAACAACAGATCACTTAAAAGAAATTTTATTCAAAATTATTCCAAATTCAAACACTAGATTGGCTTTCACAATATACATATGTATGTAATGATTATGATTATTATGATGTTAATTATGATAATTAATTAATTATTAAAACAAACATCAATTGCAAAGTAAATTTATTTGAATTAGTAATTGCTTAATTTTAAATAACAAACATTGTGTGCATTAAATTTTATTTTTTATGATATTTTACTGCTAATGCGGTGGAGTGCAATCTAGTTATGAAAAACGAAATTGTACTAATTTTGTATCTTAACTATAAATTGCACTCTATTCTTTGGATATTTTATTTATTTGTTGTTTGCGTTTGTTGATTGAATTTTTAAGTTTTGTAGTTGTTAGATTTATTGCAATTGTTGTTATGGTTTTTACACACTGAAAAATATGAATATTCCAAATTCAATAAAATTGGTTTTTTGTTAAATTATTTGTTTTGTCTTTTAAAATAAAAAAATTGTATTATAATTATAACGAATTTTAGCACCAATTTAAATTTTACTTACGTACATACTTACAAACATACATAGATGTTGTGCATAGTGTTTAGGCATTAATTCACTTGACCACCAGCTTAAAATTTTGTTTATACGGCAAAAGGGGGGCTACTGTGGCCGGCCCGTGGTTTCAAGTACCCAATCATACCACACCTAACAAACCACCCACCAACAACACACTACATACACAGAGTAATAAAACTAGAATTGATCGTAAACTGGCTTACACGCACACAAACTCATTTCTCACCAAGTGTGCTGAACATATTTGGATGTGTGTTGAAAATGAGATCAACGACAAAACAAGTAAAGAGAAAAATAACATTTAATAAAAAGAGGACAATATTAACGCATGAGCATTTTGTAAACAAACAGCTTCAATACTTCCCACTGGAATTAGAAACAACAACTACACAAACAAATTAATAATGAATACAAAATGGCAAAGGATTTTAATGTTGATAGTAATCAAATAATCCACCAACACATACTAGATAAAATAAACAACATGAACAACCATAGCATCTCCAATATCTTTATCTTCAATAATTACAACAACTACACTGACAATCAATTCAAATACCAATACAGAGAATTGTAAATTTAGTCATGTATTTTACACACGTAAAAGTTGTAAACTTTTATACATTCTTATATAAATAATTGTTAAATGTCATTTCGTTTGAAATTGTTGTTCATTGAATTTAAGTCCCATTTAAAAAGTGTCATTTTTATAAAATTTTTTATATGTTTTCTTTTTTTCTCTCTCTCTCTCTCTTGATTTTACTCTTTTCAATTTTTTTAGAGAGGATGAAGGCTTTATAAAGGAAGAAGAAAGACCTTTGCCGGATAATGAAAATCAAAGAAAAGTCTGGTTACTTTTTGAATATCCAGAAAGTTCACAAGCCGCCAGAGTTGTAGCCATAATTAGTGTATTTGTTATATTGCTATCAATTGTTATATTTTGTCTAGAAACATTACCCGAATTTAAGCATTATAAGGTAAGTTTATTCCTATTTTTTACACTCTTAATATAACTTATGTGAAAATCTAAATCCTAAACCCTCTAAGATTCAGTTAAAAATATCACTGTCTTAATGTGGCACTTGAATTTCGAGTTTTTTCAAACTAGATTCGTTCCGAAGTTGTCCCATTTTATTTTCCATTCTGACGAATCTTTTATGGGAAATTCTTAATTCTCAAAAATAATTTTTGTTAACTCCAGTTGTAGTTTTGGTCCCGACGGGCGACATATGCATTTACCAAATGATTTAAAATAAAATTGATAATTCTTTATATAATTATATATGCTTGTATCGCGCTGTGGTTTAAAACCCAAATCTAGCAGGATAAAATTATTATGTGGTTAGTTTATATGGATTCGGGGCTTGTGAATTCAAAAATCGAGCATTGAATGCTATAGAATAATTATTTGTCGATATACAGTAGGATCTGAGTATTATCACTTAAAATATAAAAAGTATAGCATATTGTAATTTTTATTTTTCCATAAACATAAACTACGATTTGTCTTAGAGTCACTTTTTGAAATTGGCATTATACGAGCTTCGGCAATCTTTATTATAGGCAAGTTGTAAAATATTTATTCTTTTATTTAAAACTAACATCTGCAAAGTCAATACACGATATTCTGTCTTCAAACTTAAATGGAGTATAAGATATTTAGTTTGATAGTAATTTTTGCAAAATTGTTACAAACATATTTCATTTTATTCTAAAGACACAAATTTTTACAATTTTGTCCACCTAGATTTGAGTTGGAACCGCAGTCTATCGTAGTTTCCACAATCTATAAATGTTCCATTTTTTATACACCAACATTCATAAGTTTTATTCATTTAATCGAAAAGAAAGAAATTCGTTACATTACCATCCGAAACGATATATTAACTAACATTAGGGTGCGACAAATTTAAAAAAATCCTATCACCTCGTAATAAGTACTTAATTAATTATCAAATCGTCTTCGTGAATTATTTTTGAAAACAAATCTTCCGCTTCAAATATCTGTTTCAAGCTGTTTATTTAAATCAAATGTTTGGAGGCCCCAGATACTTTTGGAATTAAAATCTTCTAGATTATTATATTAGATATGCTTCTAAGAATTTTTCTATTTAAAACCGCTAAAATTGGTCCATAAGTATTGGAGATATTATCAAAATTCCGAAAAAAATTAAAAAAAAAAACTTAGAATAAATCTCAAATAAGATTGTATTTGGCCTTTTTGATTAGGAGATGTAAATTTGTATTTTTGCAAAAAAATCAAAAAGTAGTTACCCTAATATACATACATGTTATGCTATACTTCCAGACATATTGGAAGTACAATTTTTATACCCACCAACAAAAAAGATGGGGGGTATATTGTATTTTTTTTTTCATTCCGATTGTAACACATCGAAATATTCTCCTAAGACTCATAAAAGTATATATATTCTGGTCCTTATTAGATTCTGAGACGATCTAGCCATGTCCGTCCGTCTGTCTGTTGAAATCACGATAGGGACCACACGGGATAGACAGCTGAAATTTTTTATAAATATTCCCTATTGATAGGATTTGTTTGGTATTGAAAATAGACAAAATCGGTCCACGTTTTCGAATAGCCCCCATACAAGTGCCCCCCCGGAAAACAGTTTTAACCGTCATAACTGGTTTAAAAATACCAGTATAACGAATTGTACATAAATTAGTTTTACGAGAACGTAAATCTCTTAACCAAATTTTATGAGGATCGGTCCATAATTGACCTATCCCCCAATATAAGGTCCCTTCAGAAAATGTCTTAGACGTTTATTACTAGCTCAGAAATGCGAGTACAGCGATGAAATTCGACATAAACAAGATTTATATGGGCCAAAATCTCTCTACCAACTTTTGTGAGGATCGGTCTATATTTTACCCTATCCCCCGTATAAATTCCCCTTCAGAAAATTACTTTACCGCTCATTACTAGCTTAAAAAGCAATGATTTGATGGTGGGTATGTAAGATTCGGCATGGTCGAATATAACACTTTTACTAGTTTGATTTGCAATTGTAGGTCTTAAACTAATTTGATTCTTCTGATCATATTGTAGATTGTATAATATTCTATTTGTATTGTTAATCACATTGATAAGCTATAGTCTACCTTTTTTATTAATATAAGATTTAACCGACAAAAATTTTCATTACATTGGCACTTTAAATATTGTGGTGTTATTTTAGACAATTTCTTAACGTAAACGCTTTCTTAACATACCAAAATATTTTTATACCACTTCTAAATAATGAAGGCAGTATGTAGTAGTAATTACAAATAATTATAATTTTTCAATTGTAATTGAACCAAAGTCAATTTTATATACATATATGTATGTAGTTGTAATGTTATATTGTTCAATTACAAATCAAATGTTATTGCAATTACATAAAATCGAATTACAATTACATCTAATTAGTAATTGACCTAGGTATTAATATATTCATTACACGCCAATGAAATCATCTACAAACTTAAGTGCCCGAACTTATTTCAACATGTATTTTCTTCTTTCAGAATAACTCAAATCTAATAGTTTATTTGAAAATAACGTATACCAACTGGAGCTCTAACGTACATAAATTTAAAAATATACTAAACAATATTGCTGTATCAATGTTGTGCTCAATTAAATCAATATTAATGCTAAAAAAAAATAAAAATTTAAAACATTTCTCCAAAGCAAAAAAAAAAAAAAAAGAAAATATTATAACTGGTGATTTAGCAAAAATTATTTTGCTTTAATTGGCAGTTGCACACGAAGACTTGCACTCATAGATAAATTCATAAGAAACTAATCAATTGTGGGAAAATAAATTTTAAGTTATTATACAAAAACAAATATTTTTCTATGAGTGTAATTTGTTGTTGATGTAATTGATAATTGTTTGTTTTAACTTTCTCCGAATTCTCATTGCGTTCAAATTGTTTTTTATTTTATTTTAATTGGAATGTAAAAGAGTGCAAAAGAAGTCCAAGATCTGGTAAACCTGTTTTATTTTTATTTTTGTATTGAACTTATATAATGCAACATTTAATATTTATCTGTACTTTGGCTTTATAAGATTTGTCATTATTTTGTTATATTGTAATGCTAAACTACCGTTTTCGCCAAAAGTTTTGGATTTCTAAACAAAAATTTACTTTTTATGTAAAATAGTAAATTCCAATTTGTCTATATGTTTCTCTTTGATTAAATGAATAAAAAAGAAAAGAAAAACGTCGTATCTAAAAGGATTTCATGTTATATTTCATTGAGATATCTTCCAGCCTATATTAGTCGAGTATTATAATCAAATGCTAGATTTAAAGTAATGCCCTTCGTCTTCCCTGACTGCAAATAAATCATAAACACTATTTTTCTCAAATATCATTTAAATTAAACATTTAATAAAATTTTCAGGTGTTCAACACAACTACAAATGGCACAAAAATCGAGGAAGATGAGGTGCCTGACATCACAGATCCTTTCTTCCTTATAGAAACGTTATGTATTATTTGGTTTACATTTGAACTCACTGTTAGGTAAGTACCTTTTTGCCGCACCCCACTCTCTCTCCATTTCTTAACACACTTGCACATAATAATGATAATGTTAATGATACATTTAATCTCTTATATTTTTACCATATTATTATTATCTCTTATGCTTGTGTGTGGGTGTGCATATGCACTCTATTAGGTTCCTCGCATGTCCGAACAAATTACATTTCTGCAGGGATGTCATGAATGTTATTGACATAATCGCCATCATTCCTTATTTCATAACATTGGGTACTGTTGTAGCCGAAGAGGAAGACACATTAAATCTTCCAAAAGCGCCAGTCAGTCCACAGGTATGTTTATTCGTGTGCGTGCTTAAGCGTTTTATGTGTATTGAAATAACAACAACAACAAAAGAACTTCGAACTAAATGTATGTAAATGTTTTGAAAAGATAAAAACACAAAAAAAAAATACAACTGAAGATAAAAAACATACTGATACTCTGACAAAACATTGTTTATTATTTATTGTTTTGAAAATTATTTAAAATGCTCGTTTTTTATTAATTTTAGTTTTTTTTATTAAAAACTTTTTTGTTGTTTTTCACTTTTATTTGTATTTACTATGTATTATGAACTTAATTATTTATAATTGTTGTAAAATACGTTATTAAATTGTAATTTTTAGGACAAGTCATCGAATCAGGCTATGTCCTTGGCAATATTACGAGTGATACGATTAGTTCGAGTATTTCGAATATTTAAGTTATCTAGGCATTCGAAGGGTTTACAAATTTTAGGACGAACTCTGAAAGCCTCTATGCGGGAATTAGGTTTACTTATATTTTTCTTATTTATAGGTAAGTTTCGTATAAAACAAAAACAAAACAAAATACCAAAAAACAATAATTACAAACACACAAGACGACTTAATCATTATTATGCTTATTCCCCACTCTCTCTCTCTAATAACAATTACCTACTATATATAATATAAAGAATACAATAATAACAATAATAAAAAAGTACTTACAAACACAACTATTTACATCACACTTATTAAACAAAAAACAAACAATTAAACCCCAACTACAGCAAAAACAAACTCTCTCTGCTAACTCAGCCTAGTTAATTTTCAAACCACTAGAATAAACGAGGGTTTGTGGCTTTACTAAACACCTTCAACATCAAATACATGTAAATTTTATTATTTGTTGTTTTTCTTTTTATACAAATTTATTATAAATAATAGGCTCTTTAAGGTCGTGTTAGTTTACACATACAATTAATATGAAACTATAATGAAAATAAAAACTAAGATTTAGGATCTTCTATTTGATTAACATTCAAAAGTTAACAAATGAATTGCACTTGAGTATAATTTTTTTGTTTTTTCCAAACTTTCTTAAACAATTTTCTTTATATGTTTTCTTTTACTTTTAACTTCCTCCCTTCCTACGCTTTTCGTAATTATTTACAACAAAAAATAAACTCTAAGAAGTGAAAGATAAAAAGAAATATATATTTTATTGCTTTTTTAATTTGATTTTTATTTTTTAACCGTAACAAATAACAACGAAATATAAAAATATATAAGTGTGAATATTATTTGTACTGTACCTTGAAATCAAATAATTTACGAAAACAAATTTATAGAAGAAAAAACTAATTTGTCTAAGTATTTTAAAAAAATAATAATATTTTTATTTTTTTATATAAATAATAGAGTAGGGTGTATGTATTTTCTAACGAAAATTGTAGGTATATTTAAATATATGTGTTTTAATAGTTATACATAGTTAGGTGCACAATAAAATTATCTATGGTTGGTTGTGTTTGTGGAAAAATAATTTAAATGCATTGTTCTGATGAGGAAGTTTGTAATATCAAAGAATTATTTAAAATCATTTCAAATTAGTTTTCGTTTTCTTCTAGTCCCAATATAATCGGCAAATCTGTAAAAAATCCACCGAAGTCCGAACCATACTGCCAAACTTGGTAATGATTGATACAAAATTAACCATCCATGTAAGGTTCAATACCTACATGCGCATAAATCTATCAATCTATAATAGTTTAAACGTAAAATAAAATTTGTATTAGTTTTTCATAAAAACTTTTAACAAACTTCAATCTTTACATTTTGCGAAAATCGCACCATAATAGGATCTAATGTACACACGGGAAAATCAATCTAAAATACATAAATTTAGTAATTCTGCTAAAGATTATAACTTTCAAATAGATCGATTTTAACTTTAACTTCCTCATGGATTGTTCCTTGGATTGAATTCTAGAGATTCGATTGATAGAATCACATGATTTATACTTTAAACTAAATGTTATAAAGAATATGAATTATTTCCCATAAAATAACCAACCAAAGGAAAAACTTATTGTGTGATGTACTGAATTAAATAAACATACATATCTACATATAAAAAACGCTGCAAAAAAACTAGTTTATAAATTGGTGTCTGTTTTTGTCTTAAACAAAAATTAATGAAAACAAAATGATATTCCATTAAAATTTACTCGAATTTTAGTCTATTACTCGAGATATACTTTGACAAAGTAAAAAATATTTTTTAAGAAAACAGTCGTTTATAATTTTAATTGAACAAATTTAAATGAAAATTTCAAATTAAATTATTTTTCTGATTTCGGAATAAAAACTGCAATAATTTTCAGTTAAATTGAACTAATTAAAATTATATCCATTCTGTTTGAAAAATAAAAAATTGTCCAAAATAATTTGTAACAAAAAATTAATTAAACAAATTTGTTTAATTGTTTCAACTGTAAATGTTGCGTGCTTTATGTACTTGTTGAAGTTTATTTTAAAGTAATTAACAAAATCAATTTATATTAAAATGTTATATTATTATTTGTTTGCTAACAAACGTTTTTAGTAACCAATAGATCTTGAGTTATAGTTATTAATAATTAATTGTTGTTCTATTCAATATTTATTAATTTGGAGCTTTATGCTTTTACATTTTTTGGTTCCATTTTACTATTGCCGTTTATAAACGATAAAAACTATCTTTTATAACGGTACAATATACATATAAATTTTCAGTTATTAATATTTTGTCTGTAATTAACTAAATGCACAATCTTACTAAATATTTGTTAATATTTTTACAATTAGAGCTTAGCTGTAGAGTATTTGAAATTTACATATAACTACTACATATACTTATATTTAAACAAAAATCTATTTAACTCTTTATAAACTTACAAAAAAAAAAAACAACTTAATTTTTTCGTCAAACTATTCATTTTAAGGATATTAACAATTGAACTCAACAGTGTTTAGTTTAAATAAATAAATTAAGTTAATTTTTTATGATTTCTGTAATAAATATTATTTAGTAGTTTATGTAGTTTAGCTGTTGTTTCTTCATATATACATACATACAATTATACATATTGAATATATACTTATCTATTCTTTAAACTACTTATTTACTTTTGTATATATAAGTATACATAGTATATTTATTTATACATACATATTATTACATTATTCTATGTTAAACATTCTATATAAATACACCCAGCTAAAAACAATCCATAAATTGCATACATATCTGTATTTATATCCGAAAAATGGCGCATATATGGAATTATTTATGAAAAATTTTGCTATGTATGAATATATATCGAAATATGTTAAAATATGCTTCATATATGTATGTTCCATATACATATAATCTGTTTTAGCTGGGCATATACATATGGACAATTTCGTGTCAAGTTACCCAACTTTTAAAATCGATGTCTTCCGATTTGGATAAAATTTGCTGCAAGGTTAGTACTATTTGATAGTAGGACAGACACAAACTTTCAGCTCTATCGGTCAAGAACGGACTTAGAGGGGGTCAAAGTTGGACATTTTGGCCAAACAATGTTTTATTCAAATAAGTGTAACTTTTCATCTATTGGTCCTAGCAAAAATTGTCCAAGGGAGATCAGATAGCTATTTCTTCATTGTTGCCAAAATAAATTAAATATTTTTTTTAAACTCCCTTTTTTTGCTCAGAAGAAAGCTTATACAATTTCTTTTAAGAGCTTTATAGTCCCATAAGGGGATGCTATTAAAAATAATATTTTTTAACTCAATAATAAGATTTTTTCAATATTTTTGGCACTTAAATTTCCCCTTTTATTAAAATGGACATTTTATTTGTTGCTCAAAAGCTTTGTGATCACTTAGTGGGATGCAAGGGCCATATGTAAAAAAAATTATATTTTAAAATTACTTTTTGAGTTTAAACACTTTTTATAGTTATCCCTCTAAAAAAAATTATAATTTTTGCATGCAATGAAGAAATATCTACTTATTTGAACTCCTTTGGAAAAATTTTGCTAGGACCAATAGGTGAAAAGTTACACTCATTTGAATAAAACCCTGTATGACCAAAATATCCAACTATGACCCCCTCTAAGTCCGGCAGTTCATGACCGATAGAGCTGAAAATTTGTGTCAATCCTACTATCCAATAGTACTAACCATGGTGCAAATTTCATTCAAATCGATTTTTTGAGTTGGGTCACTTGACACGAAATCGCCCATTTGACTTGTTTACTTATTTCCAATTAACCAATATGCATAATTCTTAATATGAAAAGATCTTTAAAAGATTCGTCATTTTCTACACACTAGTCAACAAACCGATGGGCGTTAAGCCTCAAAACAAAGAAAAATTGTTTGAAACTGGTATTCAATCATTCGAATATTAAAGCATAATTTTTAAGGAGATGAAAAATTTATACCAAGAGACCCCCGGGGGTCTCTAGTCTACCGGTACTATAAACTGTTGATTATCAAATGTATCCTCAGCTTTTCCTTGGACTGATTTGACATGTGGTCGAACCAGAGAACCACATAATCTAGTACCACGGGAACTGTTAGCCCACAGGGCAGAGTTTCGTACTTTGTCTTGTTCCGGTTATTGGAGAGGCACAGGGGCGGTGGTGAGTCGTATAATCAGCTCACCCTGTGGTTGAAAAAGTTCCACCGTGAAATAAAGCCAACATGGCAGGAATTCACGTAAAACACTTCGATTTCTTGACACCAAGAGAAAGTACCACAAAACATTCTAAAGCCACATTCAAGTTTAAATGTTTAAATTCTAAGCATACAAACTTATAAAATGTTTATCTGTCACATACAAATATTGGCTTCAAAAAGCAATATGTCATGCCATAGGGCCTATTCATAAAAGGAAACCTGGAAAGCAGAACTGAAGCAAATAATTTGAATTATTAAAATCATTAAAAATACATAGATACGTAAAAACATTCTAACTTATTGTTTTAAAAATAAAGTTCTTCAACTTTCTAGCTTTTGTTAGCCATTTTTCTACTAAAGGTATGGCAGTAGCTTGTATCGTAAAATGCTTCAAGTATATATACATATTCAATATTTGCGTTTTTTTGTTGACTAGTGTTATTTATTACAATAAGATAAAACAAACAAAATAAATACAAGGTTCAGTATAAATTTAAAATATTATATTATTATTTCTTTCTTTTATTTTTAATAAATATTTTTTTGTTTTTTCTTAGTCATAAAATTTCTTTATTATTAATTTGCACTTAAGTTTACTAATTATTTACTTAACATTACTAAATACGTATTAGTTCATTAGTTAATTAAATAGTTAATCCCCTCCAATAAATTAACTTTTATTTAAACTGCACCATATATTAGTAAATTGTTTAACAATTTTGTAGTTAGTTGAACTAATTAATTAAATGTAATATACAAGAATTAACAAACAAAAATCTATAAATATATATGAATTTCTATTTACAGATTCTTTTATAACTAGACTTGAAAAATGTTTAAGTTTTACATGTGTAAAAATAATATACATTTTTTGCATTTTTTTCTCTTGCATATATTAACAATTAAGCACAATAGTTAATTTATTATGTGGTTACAGTGTTGGGCATACTAGGTGTTAATGAAAACATTTCTACATTAAAAAGTTTTAATGTCGATCCGATTTTCGGTTTCCCCATGTGACATTTTTAATTTAACTGAGGTACTACGATACAGTTCATGATTTCAGCTATAAAATTTTCGGTTATAATCTGTTTTGACGATATGTGTTTCTATCATCTATAAACTTTATGGACTGACTATCTTTATTGAAGATAACTTTCACTTTTTCTGAATTCTTAAATAATAAATTCTATAATATATGTATTAGTATCATCCAATGCTGTAATAACAATATAGGTCAAATAAATTAGGTTTTTATTTATTGTGTAATGTAATTTATTAAATAATTACTATTGTGCTTAAGGCAAAATCTACAATTAAAACATACAAATTAACTATCTAAAATATCCCAAGCAGAACAAATAAATTTATTTTTTAAGTTATGCATAATTAAAATACTAAATAAGTTTATAAAATAGTTACTAATTTTTCAAAATTTTTTCTAAATACACACACGCCAAAATGAAAACCAATCAATAAATTAAAAAAAAAACAAATTTATAAAAATGCTATGAAATAAGGTGTTGTACTATTCTCATCGGCGGTATATTTCGCGGAGGCTGGCGCCGAAGTATCATTCTTCAAATCAATACCTGATGCATTTTGGTGGGCCGTGGTTACCATGACCACAGTGGGATATGGTGATATGAGGTATAAAAAAAGAAAATTTTAAATATAAAATTTCTATGTATTTTAAATTTAAACTAAACCCAATTATTTGTACACAATTGATCAAAAACCAAAAAAAAAAACAAAGAAAAACGGTCCGTTTCTCAATAATTCTTATTTTTTATTGTCTATTAAATATATTATATATAAGTTAATAAATAATTTAAATTAACCCCGCTATTATTACAACTATTCCAACTTTTTCTACTGCCCTACCACAGCATAAAATACTAATTTTACTACTACATACTAATTTTTAAGTACAATTTGTAAATGGTGTAAAAATGATAATAAATGATTTGCTCTCTCTCTCTCTCTTAATCACTGTCAGCATATTTTGAATGTTTGTGTAATGTGAATGTGAGAATTAAATGAAATTTTGAAAAAGTGCGTGGAATCAAATTAATAAATAATATTACTATTGAATCAATGTGAAAATAAAAGAATAACATTTTAACTAATTACTTCTTTTCTATCATAAGAAAGAGTTTGGAGTTTCGATTCAGATTTCACATATAATGTCAATTTTATGTCGTTTTCATTAGTAATGAATCGGTTTTCTAGATATCTTTCCTATGATTTCTACTTTATCTATCCCGTGTTACTTTTCTATTTCTATACACAATATGTAAAAAATGAATATAATTATAAATATATACTATTATGTATTCAATTTTAATAAAAATAAATATTTATTCATTATATCAATGTTGTCTACATTGTGGTGGTGTTGTTTGTAAAAAAGTGGCCTTTTAAAACTCAATTGTTTTTTGTTAAATTTTTTATTACTTCTTGAGGTCTACTCAAAAATTGTAAAAATTCGTCAATGTTGTCCGTGTATTTTTATTTGTTTAATTATTTTTGTTTTTTCTTTCAAAAAATAATTTAATTAAGCATGTGTTTATTTTTTCTTAATTTAAATTGTTTTTTTTAATTTCTTTTTATTTCTAATAACAAAAGATGCTAAAATATCACCATATTTCGTTAACAGGTCCTTTAAATTGAAATGAAATTTCCAGTCAACTGATAGAAATTTCTAATTTGCATACAACACAGCCTACACTTGAAAAAATTAGTATTAAGACGCCTCTTAAGAAAAAAGTATAAAATATTGAAAATAATAAAGGTTTTTCTGCTTGGGAAATTTTAACTAAAATTGTAAATTTTAAATCCATCAAATTTTATGCAGGAGTTTTTTTAAATAATTTTATATATTTAAAAAAAAAAACTTCTTTTTTAGGTAATTTTATTGCAACACACTCAAGACACTTCAAAACAAATAAACTATTATCACTCAATTATTAAGCTTAATATTTGCAAATAAAATCAAACAACACTAACAAATATTACTACCAGTCAACTCCTTAGATTTGCCAGCCTTCAAATCATGTAACCCCATCCCCATCCTTGTAATCCTACCAAATAATCCACGAAGCATTGAAAAAAGCAGGCGAAAACAAAAAGTTATTCATTGAAATCTTTTTAAACTCCATTAATAAAAAAAAAAAACAATAAACAAATAGACCAAACCAAACGTTCTATATACAAACATTTGAAATTTTCTAGGCGTTGTACTCTTCTCATCGGCGGTTTATTTTGCGGAAGCTGGAAGCGAAAATTCCTTCTTCAAGTCCATACCCGATGCATTTTGGTGGGCTGTCGTTACCATGACAACCGTTGGATATGGTGACATGACGTATGCAAAAACTTTAATTTTACTATAGATTTTCGATTTTCTTTCTCTTTCTATCTTTCTATTACTTTCTTACTTTGTTTATGTTTTTGTTTTGTCTTAATACTTTGTTTTTATGTTTTTTTATTTATGAGTTTGTTTGATTTCTCTATCTATTTTTCTCACTCTGAGTTTGTGAATTTTGTTTTCTTTTAATTCGAAGCAAATGCTCAAAAGAAACTGACACTTAAGCATATTTGAGCATTTTATCGAAATTTAATTAAAATATTTTTAATTTTTTTTTCTTTATATTAATCTTTACTAAAGTTGCTGTATTTTATCGTAAATGTTGAACGCGTTATCATATTTAATATCTTTAATTTCAAGTCTCATCGCTTAAATAAATTACGATAAAGATACAGCAATATTATTTATGGTCTTCATGAAATCTTGCATTTTTAATCAAAAATCTAAAGTTTAAACTGCCTAGATAGAAACACTCGTCTGTTATGGCAAGCTTTCGTGAATACTACTATTGTATTTTTAAATATTCTATCATCATCTTTCATATGATTTGCACTTGAAGTCGTACAGAATCAAAAATAAAAGAGTCATCCTTTTTATGTATAAAACAATCAAGCGACATTAAAATTCATTGATACGATTTCATTCTTAAAACAATGTTTATTACTTTATACATCAAACACCATGGCTTTTTTTTTCTACTCCCCAATATTTCGACACTATACATATTAAAAATCATAAATATTTATAATTTTCAAAGCACATTTTACAAAAGAAGAGCCTTTTTATAAAGAGCACTTAAATTTCTTTTTCCAAAAAAAAAATCGTTTTTCTTTTTCATTTTAGCCAAAACTTTTAATTTGCTTTACTTTTAACATAAAATTGAATGCGTGGAAATTTTTGAAGAGATTTTAATTTTTACTCCAATTTTGTTTTATGTTGGATTAATTTATTTTAAAATGCTGCTTAAGCTTGTTGCATGTTTTGCATTTTTTATTTGAATACTTGTGTTTCTTTTGATTTTTGTTCAATTTTAAATTTTTTAAAAATTGGCCAAAATATGTATTTGTTACATAATTTAGCATGTTCTTTAATTATTTTCTTAGAAAGAAAATAACAATTGGATTCATTAAAATTTTTTGTTAAATGTCATGTGTGCATTATACACTAATCAAAAACAAAAAACATTCAATCGAAACGTCTGTTACCATATCTCTATCTGTCATTTGTTTCCTTTTATTCTTTCTCTCTTTCGCTCTCAGTTATGTTTTCCCTTCATATTTTGTTTAATCAACATTTTTGCACCTACATACATACATACATAATTAAATACATGCATAAATTATCTTCATGTCGTTTATCATTCAGAGACTAAATAGTTTGTAGAAAATCTAGAAAATTTTCAATTTTACATTTTCAGTAATTTTTGCCCATTTTCCTAGTATTTGATATATTTTATTGTGGTTCATGATGAACAAAATACGAATGAATATATGCAAATATACAAACATACCTACATACATATATTATTATTAATATTTTACAACATATTTGTAGAACTGACAACGATTATTATAATTAAATTAAGAAATTACTTCGAATGTTAACATTGTGTTAATACACTAAATGCGGTATGAACCGTATTTTGCTTCAAATAACATCAGAACTCAGGTTGAATATGTGAAGTTATTAGGACAACCTGTATATAAATTGGTGACCGGGAAGCATTAAACCGTTATGACATCAGTCATATCACATTTAATTTTGTTTTGCTCTCATAGTTAGGATAACTTTTTATATGACATCTCAATAGAGCTTAGTTTAAAAGGACAAATATTAGACTAGCTTGACTTATCGATTTTAGATTTTTATAACTTATTATTATACTAATATATCACTACGCTTAACAGCTAGATTCTCTAACAATTAACAACTAACAATTGAACATAAAGTTGCCAGCAGACTGATTGAAAAATAAGTTTTACTTTCATAGTGTAGTTTAAGTTTAAAAATCTAAAACTGCGTGATCCTTTAGATATTAATAAAAGTAACTTAGTACATAGAACTGATATTTTTTAGAATCTAATAGACCAATGGACTTTAATTGCAAAAAGTTTACAAATATGCAAAAAAAAAACATTTGAAAGTTGATTATCATATTACTGCCGCTTGTGATATATTTTTAATGATCATATTGAACAATAAATAGAATTTAATTTTGATTTAATAAAACATACTTTTTTTTAACAATCTCTCAGCAACTGCACCCATTTTACTACACTCGCCCTTTTTATACTTATTATTCACTCACCTTTTTCCCTTAAAACCTGATCGCTGCCTTTCGCTCTCTTAAAATCTCCCTCCCCCTCTTTCTATATATTTATATAATAAGAAGTATATTAATGACTATTATAACATTTACTACTGCTACTGTTAATATATTGTACAAATACATTTTATATAAATTATTTATTATTGAAATTTATGTATTTCTTTCCTATTAATTATTATGTATGTGTAAATCATTTTTTATCTACATACTTACACGCCCATTTTCTCCTATATGTCTTATTATGTATCCTTATTAATTTTATTTTATAATAACAATTAACATACATAGAAATCAAAAAAAAAAAAAACAAAAACATAAAAAGATCGAAATTTTACTCCATAATTTATTATATTTGTATTTTCATTTGTTTATTTTTTTATCGTTCGTTCGTTCGTTTATATACATCGTACGTACTCTCTCTCCATACCAAAAAAATCAAAAAAAAAATATAATATGCCAAATAAACAATATATAAAAAATTCCTTAAACTCTTATTAACCAAATACCAAAAAAAAAACTTTACAAAACCAAAAATATAACGAATTTGAATTTGATAAATGACCCCACATCTAACTTCCCCATTGAATGAATATACAAAAATACAAAATTGAAATTGAACTAAAATCTGAAAACGTGAAACGATATTACGAATATGTACTTGTGAATGACGCTACGTAGGCCGGTCGGAGTTTGGGGTAAAATTGTGGGATCACTGTGTGCCATTGCTGGTGTCTTGACAATCGCTCTACCGGTACCGGTTATTGTCAGTAATTTCAATTATTTCTATCACCGTGAAACGGATCAAGAGGAGATGCAGAGCCAAAACTTCAATCATGTTACTAGTTGTCCATATTTACCTGGTACATTAGGTAAGTCGGCTTTTCATTGCTTTATTCTATTGTTATTCTCTTTATTATTTAGACATGCTATTTATTACACATTATTATTAAGTCAAAACATGCTTAACACACACATACACTCTCTATATCTCCTCTATCTATAGAAATAATCTCAGATTTACAGTTAACTACTAATAATATTTATAAAGTATCAACATAAATATATTAAATATTAAACATTTTTTTATAAACAGGCTTATTATAAGTAGATTTTATAGTAGAATTGAATTTGTTTTCTTTTAATACTAGCACACAGTCATATTAACGTAATATCTCTTGATCCCCCCCTCCCCCAACTTAATACTTTTCCTCCTACAATTAACAAAAATATGAAAATTAATAATTTTAAATTATGTTATGAATTATGAAATTTGTAATAATTATTATTAAGCTTGTTTTGGTAAATTCACTAGCTTAATTTATTTCTTTTTTTCTTTTCTATTCCCATATTTACACAACATAATAATTAAAAATAATAATAAAAAAAAAAAAACAAAAAATATTAAAATTCGATTGATACATAATAAAACATTCACTCTACCTACCATCACATTGTAATGAAATAAAAACGAGTAGGTCAACATTTAAAGAAATCATCGTTATCTGAGTCCTCATCGGATATGATGGATTTAGATGATGGTGTCGAATCAACGCCAGGAATGACTGACATGCATCCTGGTCGTTCATTGGCTCCATTTTTAGGAGCCACCACTCATCATTCACATTTAACTCCAACAGCAACAACTACTGCTACCACAACCCTGCCAGCACCGCCTCAGCAACAACAGCAAACGCCGCCAGATAAGCAACTACAACAGCAGCAGCAACAAGTTCAACAGCAGCAACAGCAACAAATCCAGTTGCAAAATGGCTACACACAATCTGCCATCAGTGTTACTAGCGGTGGTAACATTCAAACTCATAGACATAATAATGCTTTGGCTGTTAGTATCGAGACCGACGTTTGACTACTGGGTAAGTGTCTGTCATTCAAATTCTATTCACTATGATTTTTTGGAATTTTTTTAATTTATTTTTTTTTTGTACTTACTTTTCGTAATCAATAAAATCTCTTATCCTGTCGAGAAATAAAGTTGTGCCTTAATTATGTATGTAACTTGTTTGTTCCTATACATCCCTTTACATAAATGAATAAATAATTGCAGTTTTATTAATGTTTCTTTCTGCCTTTTTATTAATATGGTATTTAAACATAAAATATTTTTTGGTTTCAAACATGAACTCTTTTTTTCAACTCCCTAAACTTAAACGAAAGTATTCCATGTATCGAAAATATTTTAAATTGATTGTGTTTTGAAGTTTCAAATGACTTTTATATAAGTTATTTTTCACATAACTTATATAAGAGATTTTTAATGCAAAATTTCGAATAGCTTAATAAAAATAAACCTAGATTTCTAACTTGACATACAAAATATGAATCTAAGTGAGGCAATGAATTTAATAGCTATTAAGAATTACGTTTGATTTATTTTGCGAATCTAATTCTGTAAAAGAATTTAATAAATCTTAAACTGTTTTAAATATATGATACAAACTACCAACTGCAGCAGTATAAGAGATTATGAATATGTACTTTTTAAGTAAAAAAATGTTTTTAAATTCCCACATTGTTTTGAATTTGAGCTATATAAAAATTTAGCTTTTATTTTCTTTTGCATTTCCAACAATTGTATTGAAAACAATTTTGAAACCATGAAAATACCAAAAAAAATCTAAATCTAACAATATTTAGTAAAAAAGACGTTACGTGCTATATTTTGGCCTTGTACAATACGTTGGATGCCAGAAACGACTACCAAAGCTGTTTAAAATTTAATTTTAAGTAGTAATTTAATTAATTTAACAAAAAAATTAACAAAAAACAACAAAAAAATTAAATAAAATATAAAAAACATCGAAAAAAAATCTTAAAAAAAATAACTAGCAAATAAACACATGAAAACCTGAAATAGGTAAAAATTTATAAAAAAAAAGAAAACAAAAATAAATTTAAAGAAAAAAACAAAACGTGCCGTTCATGAAGAAAATTTTAAAAATCGCAACCATATGAAAAATAATGAGGAAACAACTATCAAGAAAAACGCTACTAAATATGTATCTAGGAAATTATAGGAAAACGATATTTATGAAAATCCTTATGACAATTAAAATTGTAGTAGAAAACAGGAAGAAAACAAACAAAAACAAATGGCAAAAAATAAACCATTGCAACGATAATAATAATTTATAGACAAAAACAAACCATTAAACAAATATATGTATAATTAAAATCCATGAAACTAGCAGTGGCTTAGAGAATGCCTCCTACAAAAACAAAAAAAAAACAAAAACAAAGAAGCAAAAGTACATACAATGATAAAGATGTTTATGATCAGATTTAGAACATACTACATACATATACTAATAATAACTTAGAATATAGCTGACTTGAAAAAACAAGCAAAATGATGATAACTAGAAAAAGGACAGCTGCAAAATAGTGTATAGAAAGTTAATAGCAATAGAAATCAACCAGAAAAACAAACACAATTACATTTTAATAATAATTACACATTACACAACATTACAATAAAATACAATATATTACGCATACAACAAAAATCATAAATATGTATTAAAAGCCTTTATAAATACTCAGCAATTCTTGGAAGTAATGATTTTATCGAACATTTACAGCTGCCCTTAGCTTGACCAAGGTGGGATTCAAGTGATTCTACTCGGCTTGTAATTGTACTTCATTTCTATTACAAATAGACACTTTGTAGATTAAACAACCACTTTCTACGTTATCATAAAAAATATTAATCCAAAGCCCTACCAAAAAAGTTCATTAAAATGATTTCTAGAACATGACTTCAGAAGCAGTAAATAGGAATCGAGAAAATCATATGCCTCCTAGAATGTAGTTAAATTATTCGATATTTTTTCGATTTATTTTATCATCATTGCAATTGTTAATATTTTATTATTTTAAAGCGTTTTAAATTAACTGTAACTTCCCCTAACGTCTAACCATCTGGATGGCTGTAATTCGTCTTTCGTCACGGATGTACTCTTATTAACGAGGGTGAAGATAATCGTTACTTTAGTATCTCCTTTGTAAGCGAGAGATTGGACACCATAGACACTTTTCGTAATCTCTGGGATGACAATTGACTTCCTCGTAGGACAAGCATATGTTACAATAGCTAGTCACTTGGGCAGTCGGTGGTAGAACTGGTGGAATCATGCAAATTAAAATTAATTTTTATTCATTGTAAGTTGCATTTACCGAATTTCGAAAAAATATCAAGGTTTAACAGAATTACAAAAAGTGAATATACTCTCCACGTGATCTAGTGCAGTTTGTATGTCTTATTAATATACCCAACAAATCAGGAGTTTTCCCAAAAAACAGATTTTTAATTTTTGTCTCTAATGTCTTTAGTCCGATTTTTAATTAACGATTTATTTCAATCGAATTAAAATCGGCAGTGATATTTATTTATTTAACCATTACAATACAATAACCTTATCTACCGAGCAGGGTGACGATACCCAGAGTCTCTGCTGAGAATCGCACACACAATCAACTAATCTTCGGGGGCTCCTGACAGTTATATGTTTTTTCTAAAAATACAGAATATACTGCAAATAGAAAAAATAGAAAAGCACTTGGTCAAATTGTTAGTCATTTTTTCTGTCACTCAGTGTAATTTTCACGGTTGATTGAGATATCTTTGTCCGTCTGGTTGTCCATGTAAACCTTGTGCGCAAGGTATAGGACGCAATTTTCAAGACATTTTGATGAAATTTGGACTATACATGGTTCTATACATGGTTCTCGATCTAGTTGAAATCGGACCATTATTTCAGCTTGTTCCAATACAACTGGATATTTATCTAAATGTTATTCTTAAAAGGCTCTAATGCATATTTAATACATATTCACACTCTTTCATAAATCATTCATAACACGTTTGCTATATCCGAAAATGGTCTTGTATTATTGTATTTGCAAAACATACACTAACAAAAACTAACATACATGCAATCTAAATACACAAGACTTTGAATAGCGCTACTCACATACATATCGCTCATTTACTACAAGACTAGCATAATCCAAAAAAGTACGTTTCGAAAAAAAACGGCTTTGGATGTTTTATGATATTTGACAACTAAATTTAAATAAAATTTTTACTAATCAAATATTCGTAAAAACACGAACTATACCTTACACTCGCTTTAAAGTGCACAAATCGGTTTCGAATCACTTTCTGAGTTGATTATACCATGTCCATCTGTGTGTCCATGTAAACCTTGTGCTCATGCTATTGATAATATTTGGTACATACTTTTCTTTTGACACAACGACGAAAATGGTCGAAATCGGTTTACTATTTCGCGTAGGCCCCAAACAATCGTACCCTCCAAATACTGCTTTTGAGCTTATAATTATGTTAAATGATCTAGTAATTGGCAAAACTTACATTTATACACATAAGTCTAAATGACACTACCGATTTTCGTAATGATCGGTCCTCATTTCCTTAGCCCCCATACAAAATCCCCATCAGAAAATGACTTGAAGGTAAAAATTCACTTGTAAATACTATTATCACGATGAAATTCTGCATTTATAAGGATGAGCCCATATTTACCCTTGCCCCCCATATAACCCCTCTTTCAGAAAATCTCAACAAATTTGTAAATTATTTCTGAATTAAAGTAAAAAACGATATAAAGGCTTCATTATTAAAAAATGGTCCACAATTTTAACATAGTCACTGATGTAGTCATATGGTCGGCCATGCCCGGCTATGCATTCCTGCTAGTTTTAACTTTAAAAACAAAAAATCCCTCAACACCAAAACTAGTATATAGTTTTGCAAATTTTTACATACCACTTTAGTGGAGAGGGTATATTGAGTTTGTGCTGATGTTTGTAAAGCCCCCTTAAAGTATACCAATTGGATTAGAATCGTTTACTGAGTTGATTAAGCCATCACCGTCCGTCTGTCTGACTCTCCATGTAAAGCTTGTGCGTAAGGTACAAGTTGCAAATTTTCAAAATTATTGGATGAAATTGGGCACATACGCTTTTCTCACCTGGCTCCCATACAACAGGACCCCCCGCAAAGAGCTTTTGAGCTCTTAATTATGTTAAATATAATTGTATCTCGATAAAAAGCGGCACAACAAAGTTTTCTACAAGTCTTGATGACCCCGCCAAATTTCTTAAAGATCGGCCCTTCCATACAAAATTCCCTTCAGAAAATGACTTGAATGTCCAAAATTCACTTATAAAAACTAATATCGGGCCACGACTAATTAACTTTCTTACTTGTTTATTATTCAATTCAAAAATACTCGAGTTTTCAATTATGGCAATCTGGAAGTAAATGAGCGATATATTTATTTTAGTTTTTGACATAATAAAACAGCAATAAACATAATTGAAAGACTTTTTTAGCTTTAATATTTTTGATTTTCTAATAATAAAAATAAACTTACAACTAAATACATAAGTAGCTTTTAAAAAGTTTTGAAAAAAATCGTAAAAAGGACACCATAATTAGATCCATTTTACTGAAACTTTTTTGCGTAATAAGACAGTTTAAGTTAATTTTGATTAAAAAGACAATGGATTTTATTTTCGATATTCTGTAAAATTGTAAAGCAAAAATAAAACAATATACATGAATATTTTTTGGCTATAAATTAGTTTTCTCCATAAGTATACAACTGAACATTGTTGTATTCGTAGATCGGTCCGTTAATTAGTTTAAATTTGTTTTGTTGGTAATATGAGAGATCATATCAAAGTCCAAGAAAGTTTTAGAGGAATCACTCATATATGGAAATCGCCGATTTCTATAGTTTTTTTATAAAGCCAAAAATCACTACTAGTTGATCTTTTTAGCATTTTTTCTATAAATAGTTTTATATTACATTTTCAAATTTCCTAGTTTCTCCTGACCAGTGTATGAAACAAATGATTAAATCCATTAAAATTGATTCAGTGAATAAAAGTATTTAAATTAATGTATGTTTGTATAGTGTACATAGAAATACTGCCGTCAATAAACTTAAATATTCAACTTAAAAAATAATACATTTAAACTAATAAATTCTAATACATATTATTATTAACTGTTTATTGTAATTTTTGTGTAAAATTGAAAAATTTTCATCAAATCAATATTAGTAAAACTACAGCAAACTATGAAAAACAAAGAAACAAACTCACATTTAATATTGCAAAAATCAAATCATGCATTTAATAGTTTTTTCTTTAACAATAAAAGCAATTACATTTGAAATAAAATATGGCTTGTAAATAGAAATAAAAAATTAAAATTTATTTCAACGATCAAAACTTTTGCTTAATTTCTTAACCACTAATCCAGAAGAAATATTACATTTAAATACATATTTTTTTTAATGATCCTTAACAATAAATGAAACTAAATGCAACTAAAAACTATCTAATAAATACAAACAAATTCCCCATCTAATTTTTTGCTTAAAAAGTCCCCCCGATTTAAACTGATCAAATAAAGTACAAATCTTCAGAAAAAATACAAATGTAAAAAATATAAACAAATACAACAACAACAATTAATACAATGTAAAATAAATAAATTTAAAAACCAACAAACTTAAATAGCAAAGCTCTTATGATTTTTTTTAAACAGAACATACTTAACAAAATAACAATAAGGAAAGATTCAACAATTATTTAGAAATCATGAAACAAAATTAAAAAAATAAATGCAAAAATATTTACTTATGTATATTACATACATACATACATACATATATATAAAACTATTAAAGTGTCCCGAGAAACAGCTTTTCTTAAGAATCGCATGTAGGAATAGTTCTCAGTCGAACTCAGTCGAAATGAGAAACTGCCAAATAGTTGTCAAAATTTTCCTAATTTATAACTACAAAATTATTCGGCATTTTGTTTGGCCATTTAAATATTTTTTAGTTCATATTTTACCCTCATTATGCACTAAAAGTTATTCGATGGACAAAAAGTCCACTCAATAAATTTAGAAATTTTTCTTAGACAATATATACAAAGATCAGGGTTTGCAGGTAGGGATCTGAGGATCATTTAAAAAAATTGTTTCAAATTTCCCATATTCTGTGCATGCACCGTTTGAGAGGTGAGCCTGCATTAGATTAACAAGAAAGATGTTTCTCATTAGAAGTTTTCGAAAAACGTGGAGTTTGCTTAAATGGTTTTTATTTTCTTTATTAGTGTCTTAAACTTACTGGTGTAAAATTCTGGTAACATCGGATAACGAGAACCCATTCCGGAAATCGTTTGAAAAATGTAAAACTGGCTAAAAATTAGGGGTC